ACTGATTAAGTTGTTAAAAGACAGTATTGATATTAAATTTAATGAAAAAATCCAGCTATGTTATTTATAAGGGAAAAAAACACAGATTGGTTAAAAGTAAAAGGATGGAAGCAGCAGCACTGAGGTAACACTAATCAAATGAAGCCTCAAGTCAAATCTGAAAATCAGTAAGGGTGATAAGGATGTTTCTTCCTCTGCCGATTAACACACTATCAGTTCTAGATCTAGTGCTTAGATAGCTTCAAAACATTGATATACCCAATCTTTGTAAGGCTGGCTCCTTCAGGTTTTTGCTTAGGTATCAATCCCCACTTTCTTGACAAACCAATATAAATAAGGTACCTTTCTTAACCATCTGATCTAAATAAAGTCCTTTGTTAACCTCTATTACATATCCTATTAATTTCTTTCACATCATATTTAATTACAGATTATAATCATGTATTGAATGCTTGTTTATCATCTGTCTTCCTCAACAGACCATAAACTCCATGAGGGTAGGGAGGCAAATGTTTTGAAGACTCAGAGAACTCTCATTTCTCAAAACATCTTATCTAGCCAACAATGTAATGAAATCCAGGCAATTCCTTCTTAGAGTTTAAAAGTGGAGATGAAATCCTATATTAAAGATCTTGAGACAAGATGCTGGCTCTAAGAGTACAGCAGTTATTTAGTGATGTCTGTCACAAGTACGTGGGGGAGGAGTGATCTATGTTACACTGTTGAAAGAACTATTATAAAAGAACTTGAATGGCTAACTCCAGATGTTACTAAATGTACTCCTTTCCTCCAACCTGAATAACATCTTCTGGTCTTATACATGCTTTAAGCTGTCCTATTATACTTTGTGTTAGTATTTAATACAAATACAATTCCCTCTTAGATTAAAAACACTGGAATGATGTTGAACTCAGAAGAGCCAAACAAGAAGGTACTGTAGAAATTACTAGTATAAATTTGAGCAGAGTATCAAAATTCATCAGAAGACTTAGCTGATCCCTTTATCTGATTGGCAGCTAATGAATAGTAGGTAATGAATGTGTATGGGCATTAGACCTAACACAGACCCAGTTGGCTTCAAAGCAAGAAGCTAGGATGAGAGCTGGGTAGTGTCAGTAGGACATTGATGAAGGAATAGGTTTGTCTATATGCCTAAACTGTTGCTTCAGCTGCAATTCTTCAAACTACAAATAAAATTCACATATTGAACATAAAGTTAAAAAAGGAGGAAAGACACATGAAAGGTAAATGTGCTCCTTTCCCCCACCTCCTAAATATTAGGCATCTCATGGGGTACTTCGTATATACTTCTTTCCTTTCCAGTGGATTTAAATGGTATGTTGGAGAAAATACAGCTTTGGTATATGTCAAAGAATACATGGAATAATGGGGGAAGCTATATATCTAAATATCAGAAATGCAGATAAACTATTAGAAAGGTCAATTGTATAATTTCTTGCCATTCTAAAGAATAAAAAACACTTTTAATTCCACTGCAGTAATATTACATCAAATTATTTAAAATTATACTATCTGTTGCAGTCTTCCTCATCTATTATGACTATGGAAACGTGAAATTATATTATGCTGTGATACAGTGGGAGGGGATAGCCTATGAAGCCTGTTTGACTGGGTTTGATTTCTAGCTTGGCTACTTACTAGATATGTGACTTGGGGCAAAATCTGAGTTTCAGTTTCCACGTTTGTAAAATGGGAACATTACTTATTTCCTACAGCTGTCTGAAAATTAAATGAGATAATAAGCCCCAAATGGAGTTTCCTACTCCTTCTACCCTGACCTCTAGAATCAATGCTGTTGAACAGAACTCAATGGGAAGACGGAAATGCTCTATAAAGTGCACTGTACAGTACGGTAGCCATGTGGGTACTGAGCACTTGAAATATGGCTAGTGTGACTGAGGAACTCAATTTTTAATTATATTTAATTTTAATTAATTTAAATTTAAAAAGCTACACGTGGCTTGTGGCTACCATATCAAACAGCACAACATAAAGCCATGAAGTGTGTTTCTTTGAGGCTTTAAATCCTTATGGAACTAGGAGAGGGTATAAAAATAACAGCAGTGAGATTCTCTTTAAGTTTATCCCAGAATGCAGTATACCTGAAATAGAATAGATAGGCTTTGTGGTCAAATATGTCTGGATTTGAATACCATGTCTGTGTGACCCAAGCCAATTTACCTCAAATTCCTAAACCTCAGGCTCCCTATCTGAAAGACAGAATACTCACTAATCTCATTGAAGCACTGTGGAAATGACAAATTAATGGATTTGATGTAGTAGCTGCTTAACAAATCTGGTTCCTTTCCTCCTCCCACATTCATTGTTTCTTACATGACCACTTTCCTCACATGCTGGCCAACTGCCTGAACTGTTACTAAATTTAATATTGACAAATGTAGTTAATGCCAACTGTTTGCCAATATGTGTTTACTCCACTAAATTAAACTGCCAATATTTAATTTTTTAAGAACACAAACTTTAAAAATGTATGGCTAAAAAGAAAAATATCTTCAACACAGAAAAAGCCTCACAAAACAATCTAACTCTAAAACCATTACTAAGAAATAGGAGTACATATTGGTTAGGCACAGAAACTAGGTTTTCTAGCTCCCTTAGCTCATTCTTTCAGCTACTAAGAGTCTCAGGTAAGGATTTTTACTTCTGAATTACTGTGCTACAAAACTGCTTAATTGATTTGAGGACGAAAATAAAAAATTAAAACCAAAACCGAACTTATGTCTGTTTCATAGCCAGAAATTTGGCTTCAAGACTTTTGGGAAGTGTTTTATCTTCTCTTAATGTGAAATGTATTCTAAGCCCCTAAGATGGTCTGGCTACCTTTAAGGTTCCTTTCAACAATAAAATATTCCAACTATTTCTATTAGGTTGTTAATTGATAACTACTTAGAATGAAATAACTGAATATCACTCTTAACCTGTTCATTAGGACCCGGAAATCAGTGGAAGCTAACCTAAAGCTGAGTCCTCTGTTCTTAGAGGAACCCCCTCACTGGCTCAAGCCACACAAAGGCTATCTACATTATAACTATGACTCAATTTTAAAATTTCTGTTGCAGAACATTTGCCACTGGATCCTGCCAAACTGTGTCTAAGGCTGTTTCTCCTAGCTATTTTCAGATAGTGGCAAGGCATAATGTGTGAGGACCGATATGCTTCTTTGTACTAATACTTTGGTTGCTTCACTGTCAGTTTAGATAGGGGTACAAAGGCAGAGTTTTTAGTTTGGTTAAGCTCTGTATTAAAAATCTAAACCTGTACACAATTTCTAATCATTGAACACACATACTGTGTAAATCCTTGACTAAAAAAAAAAAAAACTATTTAATTTGGTCTGTCCGTTTAAATATTGTACTTTGGCTCTATTGTCTTATCCCCCATGCTCATAAGTAAACAAAAAAAGTATTAACTATTTCAGCTGATATGAGTAGGCAGACATCTGGTTTTCATTTTTATATGAGAAGCAAGTACTTAATAAGCTATCTGTGACTTGGTTGGATTGAATGTACTATAAATATATACAAAAAATACAAGCCACTAAAAAATAAATAGTTCAACACGTAGAATCTCTAATTTCTTACCTCTAATTAACAACTAACCAAAGCACTTCTAAAATACCTTCCAGCCACTAAACACAGAAATCGTAAGTATATATTTGCAAGTGTCAATAAATCTCATGGACTAACAGATTAAAGAGGAAACCAACTTGTTTTTAGACTTGCCAACCCCCTTGACTTTAAGACCTGGATGTACTCTTTCGAATAACAGGTCACTCTAGGTCTCTAATTTTATTTACTTTTATTGTAGTCACTTTTTTAAAGCTCAGAATAACTACACAACCAGCATGTACAATGTTGCTCAGTTTTATGGTATGCCAACAGGTTCCATGAGTCTGAACTGAAGTTTATTAACATAATCTGAAATGTATGCTATAACTACATTGTAAAAGAAGGGTTTCTAAACCAAACACCCCACACACACAGTTCTCTGAAAGCAGTTTTAAAAATCTTTAACTTGCAGAACTGGTGCATGAATTTATATGTATGGGGGTATGAATTTATAGCTGTTTTAAGTTTTTGCTCCTCAGTGAAAACACAGTAAATCATAATCAACGTGTAGTTGAATACTTGCCTTCCTACTAAAAAAAAAAAAAAAAAAAAGATAAAAGAGAGAAACCGGACAGGCACGCCTGCTGGGTATATGAGCTCCACCCCCAAAACTCTGGGCGAAGACCCTTGCCAGTATTTATTAGGATCTGCATTCAGGTTTGCCTCATCCCACATATATTGTTAATCTTGGAAAGCATCTTCGTACCAAAGCCCGTTTAAAAAAAAAAAAAAAGAGTCGAGGTGTTGCTTATATGACAGGACTTTACAGAGGGCTGGGACTTGGAACTCCGTGTACCTAAATGTGGCCTTATGGGGAGTAGTAGAGGGAAAAGGAAGCTCAGTGGCGCGTGCACACATAGGCGCGCACACACACACACACACACACACACACACACACACACAGAGTCAAGAAAGAAAAGCTATGAATTACAGGGCCTAAAACTTTAGGTCCCTACTTTAGAAATCTTTCTTCTCTCCCGCTCCCAACGATCCCAGGAATCAGAAAGCTCAGGAAAGGCTGAGGGCCAGCGTGACTGCCGACAACTAAAAGAATTTTGAAAAATTCAGCACAAGAAAAGGCTGCGAGGAGAAATGGGATAGGAGAAAAATGAAAGATGAGAGCTGGCTCCTGGGGCGACAATGGGACCCCGACTTCGGGGGGGTAAACGCCGGAGGGGCCCGCGGCCGAGGCGTGTGGGGGGCGCGCCGTCTCAGGTGCGGGAGACAAGGCGCGGGGATCCAGATGTCGAGAAGGATGGCAAGCTAACCCTTTGCCCAGGGGCCTCCCCATCATAAGACGGTCGCGCTTGAGCTGCAGGGGGTCCTCCCCCTCCCCGTCCAACTCCTCACCGGGGCCGTAGAACTTGCTGCCTTTGGTCACGTCGAAGACTTTCCCATTGACCGCAAGCAGGATGCGCGGGGTGCGTGACCCGTCGTACTGGCGCAGCTGCTCCAAGCTGAAGTCCCGCTTCTTCATACGAGGCAGAGAGGCAGCGGGGCTCTCCTCGCCCGCCCCGGCCCCAGCCCCCAGCCCCCGCCGCCCCCAACGCACCCACAGCCGGTAGGCCCCCAGCAGCACCAGCGCCACCAGCGCCACGTTCAGCAGCATCTCCCCGCCCCGCGTCAGAAGGGCCAGCGCAGCAGCCGACCAGCCGCCCCCTTCTGCTGCCGCTCCCGCGCCGCTCGAGCTCTCGCTGCTACCGTCGCTGCTGCTTTCGCTGCCACTCCCCAGGGTGCCTAAATTCACGTCCCCATCACCCGCCGCCATCACTGCCCGCCAGCGCCTTCCTCTCCTCCCCGCCCCCTGCCCTCCCCAACCCCACGGTCGGCCCCGCCCATGTGGGGCCTCCCAGCCAATAGCGTGAGGATAGGGGCGGGGTCATGCCGGCTCCCGACTGGGTGTTAACGCGGTAACGTTGCCTTGGATCTCTCCCTCCCTCCTCCTCCCTCCTTTTGCAGGCCGCGCGCGCGTGCGACGCCCCGCCCACCTCGCCCCACACTTCCCTGCTCTCGTCCTTCGCCTCTAGTTGAAGTAGAAGAGGGGGGCGGGTCTGAAGAAAACACGGTGCGCCGGCCGCGCGCGCGCGGGCGGGGCGAGACTACGGCGCGTGCGCGCGCCCCGCGGCGCCACGCGCTCTCCTTTCCTCTGCAGGCCCTCTGGGAGACACGCTCCTCCCAGTCCCCTCGCTGTGCGCGTGCGCCCAGGGGTCGCTTTTCTTCCCAGGCCAGGGTTCGCGTCCGCAAACTCCCGCCTCTTCGCTTTGGCTCCGCCCGAGAGCTTCACGTGCGCTGAGGTGGCCGCTGAGGCGGGACCCTCCCTGACGCCTTCCCGAGGGCGCGGGTTGGTGGCTAGTGGGAGGCCGCGACGTAGTTATAACTGCTTTCGCACACTGAAGAGGGCTGTCTCTTTCTCCCCTGGGTGCCGTCGCGCCTGTCCGGAAGCCCGGAGCGTGGGCGCGCAGGCAGAGCTACAGCCTAGAAGTTTTGGCGAGGAGCTGGAGTCGCCTGGCGCGGAGAGCGCGCACGGAGCTCGCCCAGGGATTGTTTGGCAAAAGGAATCCACGTGGTGTCTGCGCTATTCCCCAGTGGTTTTAGCCAAGGCTGCTCTTGTAGAATTTTCTTTCAGATTTTGTATTAAAGGTGTCGTTTCTCCTTGAAACGTTCTCATTGGGGCGAGAGGCAAGTGGATAGGATGAGGTGGTCCTTTTTTTCGCGTATTTAGCTTTATTTACAGTTTCTTTTCATCTTCCTGGGTCTTATAGAGTCTTTTAGCCTCTCGAGTCCTTAAAATTCCTGTGTAAATGTCACCTCCGAAGCCTCATTCTGAACCCCTCACTTCACGCTCTCAGGGCATCTGATGTGCTCCCTCTCGCCCCAGTCTGTTTTGTGTCGCTAGTCCCCGACCCCGCGCGCGTGTGAACTACCCTTGTGGCGAATGAAGGTTTATCAAGGGAGTAACAGTTTTCTTTTTATCTTGAGGAACTGATGGGATGGAGGAGAGACGTGGGCAAGCAGTGGGGGCGTATGGTATGCTAATTAGGGAAACAGCAAGTGGTCCATTTTGGCTTTAAGTACTGAAGAGGAACAGCCTGGAAGACTTCAGGTTGCAGTCTTAAGTATCGAGGGATAGGCTTGGACTTCACATTGCCGGTTTTGGAGGAGCCTCTGAAGATATGGAAGAGGCAAGTGACAGGATCAAAGCTCTTCTGTAGAGAGTTCTCTACTAGGATTGGTATGAAAGATTGGAGTGGGGAAAAGAATGGGAAACCAGTTAAGTAGGCTACCGTATTGGTGCAAGGAGTAAGGGAAGTGAGGGAACGCAGGACTAATGACAGCATTAGAGCAGGGGTCTGCAAGCTTTTCTTCAAAGGGCCAAACATTAATATTTTAAGTGTTCTCTATCATAATTACTCAACTCTGTCTTGTAGTGAGAAAGCAGCCATAGACAATACTTCAAGGAATGAGCTTGGCTGTGTTCCAATAAAACTTTATTTTTGGACACAAATTTTAATTTGATATAATTTTAGATATCATGAAATATTCTTTTTTTTTTTTTTTTTTTTATACGCGGCCCTCTCACTGTTGTGGCCTCTCCCGCTGCGGAACACAGGCTCTGGACGCGCAGGCTCAGTGACTATGGCTCACGGGCTCAGCCGCTCCGCGGCATGTGGGATCCTTCTAGACTGGGGCCAGAAACCCTGTCCCCCGT